TGCTTTGCTGCCATTGCTGCCAGAGCCATCGCTTCTCTGCACGTGAAGGTCGGGCGGTAACACAAGAAGAACTGAAGAAAAGGTGCAAAACCATCCATCTGCTGCTCCGGTGCATGCCACGCGGTGATGCTGCGAGGCTAAATAACTGTAGTGTGGCTTCAGTATATGCACAGACACATGATGCAGCTGCCGCAATCTGTGATGCGACGAGGCTAGGTAATCTATAATCGTCCCTCCATCATTGTCACCATCATTAGCATCATCATCATAATCATCTCCATCGTCACCCATATCGTCGACATCGTTAACGTCATCATTAACATCAACGTCGTCGTCGTCGTCGTTGTTGTTGTTGTTGTTGTTGTTGTTGTTGTTGTTGTTGTCATCGTTGTCATCAACATCAACATCGTCAACGTTAAAATTATCAACATCATAAAGTTCATCATCGTCATCCACATCATCCTCATCATCCAAATCATCATCAACGTTATCATCATCAGTAGCATCATCGTCATCGTCTTCATCGTCATCGTCTTCATCGTCATCGTCTTCATCGTCATCGTCTTCATCGTCATCGTCTTCATCGTCATCGTCATCGTCTTTATCGTCATCGTCTTCATCGTCATCGTCCTGCTATCCTAACAGATGGTTTGCATTCACCATTTCCCGGGAAGCTCAGGTTGAGATGCAGTCTAACATGTGTGTGGGCGCTCGCGCTGCTGCAGGTAATTCGATCATAGAGAGCAATCAGCGACAATTAGACGGGTTAATTTAGAAATATCCGGACATTTCATGATCGCTAGGTCGATGGGAACCGACATCATTGGCGGCTGATGCGATTTCTGGCACGCTTGCTCGCGTTTAAGCTATAATGATATAAGGTTGTATTCGAGTCGCGGGTGGGAGCGAAAGCACTAATCATGTATAGATAATAGAGCTGTCACCATAGGTCTATTGATTAAGGTTCTATGTTAGCAAGGCCGTTTTCTATTGCCTGCTAGCTGAACTACGATTGTGTGTTTGAAGAGGTGTGTACCGAAGCTTGTATAGAAACGTTAAAAATATAATGTTAAATATTGTCGAAAATAATCAAGGTCGTACGGCTAGCTAAGGTATAGTCAGTGCAGGAGATGTTAGCTAGGTGTAGTCAGTATAGGAGAGGTTAGCTAGGTGTAGTCAGTGCAGGAGATGTTAGCTAGGTGTAGTCAGCGCAGGAGAGGTTAGCTAGGTGCAGTCAGTGCAGGAGAGGTCAGCTAGGTGTAGTCAGTGCAGGAGAGGTTAGCTAGGTGTAGTCAGTGCAGGAGAGGTTAGCTAGGTGCAGTCAGTGCAGGAGAGGTTAGCTAGGTGTAGTCAGTGCAGGAGAGGTTAGCTAGGTGTAGTCAGTGCAGGAGAGGTTAGCTAGGCACGAAGGGTCGTTGTCGTAACAGGT